CAGTTCTACGTTGCTCGGCCGTCTGAATCGATTATGTTTGCTAACTCCCTTACTTTCCATTCCTTTGTTCTCTGCCCCGATGCTCTTAGCGAGTGACTCCGGTGACTCATCTTAACTTCACCCCGCCCCCATGGACCTGTCATTGCTCTCTTGACATAAGCGATTTTGTGTTCCCACAACTCATGTATCCAGTGTGGCTGGTCTGTCTGTCCTCAGCCCGTTCCCGTTGGCGGACGCTTACGATTGGCTCAATTGCCTTGTCATAACTTCGGCCTCACCTCTATGTCCATTTGTTTTGTGTGCACCTTGGCTTACGGACCTTTTGTGGAACTGATTGAAATCTGTTGGTAAACTTTTGTGTTTGGAAAACCGTTAAGGTAATTTCTACTTTTTTACGATGAATTTGTACAAATAGCACCGTTTTCTCAGGTCCGGATCTGGTCTTTTGTTGAATTTTCCGGTGGGGAACGCGTAGCTTAACTTTCCAAACGCCTTGGAGCGTTACAGTGCTTAACGGTTCCTGAAATTGCAACTTCTCTTCGCCTTGGACAACTTCTCTCTCGGATCGCACAATGCCTAAGAATAAGAAGCCCTCCGTCGATGCCAATGAAGACATGAAGGAATCCCGGCAAGTTCAAAATTTGTCTCCCGTTGGTGACACTGTTTCTTGCTCTGGTTCGCACAGTAGTCGTAAGAGTAATGCGCGTGTAGCTTTACGGCTAGCAGAACTTAAGAGACAGCAAGCTGAGACAGAGTTAGAGATGGCTAGGTTACGACTAGAAATGGAAGAGAATGTTGATTGCCCTGATCACCTAACTGTTTCCAATTACGTACCTGATGTCGGAGTGGATCGCATGAATCAGTTTTTGAATGATTGTCAAGAGACCGTGCCACCGATAATTACGCCCATGTCATATCACCAACCGTTACCGGTAGCTTGTCGAACGTCATTAGATTTGCCTAAGGTTGAGTTGGAATTTTTTGATGGTAATCCGACAGCTTACTGGAGGTTCATTAAGCAGTTCGAATACTTTGTCGAGACCCGGGTGAGTGACGGTGGGCAGCGGTTGCTCTATTTAGTTTATTATTGCAAAGGTCGTGCAAAAGAGGCTATAAGCGAGTGTGTAATGCTGCCTCCTGAACAGGCGTATCACAAGGCTAGATCCATACTCCGTGAACTGTTTGGCCAGTGTCACGTTGTTGCCCGATCACTAATCGAAGGTCTGCTTACTGGGTTGAGACCGCTTGATGGGGATCATGACGCTTTGTCGCGTCTCTCCATAAAACTAGACAATTGTTATGTGGCCTTGTCTCAGATGAACTTTACTGCCGATTTAGACTCCGTGGCTACTATTGAGCGAATAGTCCGTGTTCTCCCAAATGCACTGCAAACCAGATGGGCAAGAACAGCCGATTCAATTGTTCAAGACGGGCGGGACGTTGTTTTTAAGGACTTGGCCGATTTCGTTGCCACGGAAGCTCGTATTGCCCGTAGTAGGTTCGGGCAGATAGCAACACCAGTCGCACCACGACAGCTGAATGAGGCTCGGCAGCGGCGAGTATTTCAAGATAAGGGAAGCGGTCGTAACTTCGCCCTATATACTACTTTAGATACCCCAAAGGAATCAGTGTGTCTGGCTTGCGGTGACCCTCACAGTACATCATCATGCGCTATGTTTGCAGGCCTGGATGTATCTAGGCGCTGGGATCTGGTTCGAGACAAGGGCGGCTGTTATAATTGTTTAGAGATTGGTCATCGTGCCGCCAGCTGCCGAGTCAGCAAGGGTTGCAGCTTGGCCGCATGCAAGAAGCGACATCACTCACTGTTACATAACGAGTCAATACCGAAGACGCCCGAGGAAAATTTGAGCCACTGTCACAATACTGGCAGCACTCCCGGTAAGGTCTCGCTCGGAGTGGTACCCGTGCGTTTGGTAGGCCCCTTGCGATCTATCGAGACCTATGCTTTGATCGATAGCGGTTCCGATATAAGCTTGGTACAGGAAGATATCCTGCGGGAAGCTGGAGTAGAGATCGAACCTGCTTCTTTGAAAATGCAAACGGTAAATGCATGTACCTCATTAAACGTGGGGCTGGCTAGGTTCCAATTGTTTTCTCTGAACGGTTCCGATAGTGTGCTTGTAGATCATGCATATTGCTTGAGTCACCTGCCATTACAACCCGTGACAGCTCCTGTCAGTCAATTAGCTGAGAAGTGGCCACATTTGATGGACGTCAAATTCGATGATTTGAGTGACCCCAGGGTCAGGATACTACTGGGGGCCGACGTTCCAGAAGCTCACTGGCAGTTTGAACGACGAGACGCGGGACGAAAACGCCCATTCGCTGTAAAAACCCTACTCGGCTGGACCCTACTTGGTCCCGTTGGTCGGAGTACCCGGCAGTGTGCCTCCGTGAATTTTGTGCATTCTGATGATATTCCGCTTGAAGGGCAACTCAAAGTCTTGTTTGATAGCGGATTTGAACGTGTTGGTTCGAGTAGTCGGTCATTATCCGGGGAGGATAAAACAGCCCTGTGTATTGTCGAAAGTTCCGTACGCCTCGTTGATGGTCATTACGAAATAGCCCTGCCGTGGAGAAGTCACAATGCCAATGTTCCTAACAATTACGAAGCAGCTCGGCGTAGGTTAGACCATTTGAGTAAACGGTTGTCAAGTGATCCGTCATTACGAGAACGGTATATCTCGGTTTTAAGGAAGAATGCGGAGAAAGGTTACGCAGTTCCTGTACCGTGCGACCAGCTGCGACCAGACTACAAACCAAGGTGGTATTTACCACATCACGCAGTGATCAATCCGAAGAAACCTGACAAACTCAGAGTGGTGTTTGATTGTGCAGCAAAGTACAAGGGTCTTTCTCTGAATGACCAACTCTTTCAAGGTCCAGATACTACGGCTAACCTAATTGGTATTCTTATGCGTTTCAGGATTGAACGGGTGGCAGTTTCTGCTGACATTGAAGACATGTTTATGCAGGTGAAAGTGCCTCTACGCGACAGGGGGGCGTTACGGTTTCTTTGGTGGAAGGATGACTCGATTGGTTCAGAAGTGGTTGAATATCAAATGACGGCGCATCCATTCGGTGCAACCTCGTCACCGTTTTGTGCCAATTTCGCCTTGTGTCGAACAGCTGATGATTGGAGACCTCATTACAGTGAAATCGTGGCGGAAGCTGTCCACAATAACTTCTACGTTGACGACCTCTTGATATCGCTACCGAACGTGAAGGAAGCAATGCAATTTGTGGCATGGCTCAGAGAGATGTTAAGTAGGGGTGGATTTAAGCTGTGCAAATGGGTCTGCAGTCATGAAGAGGTGTATCGTGCGGTTCCGCAAGCTGAGATAGCTGAGTCGATCAAACCGATAGCTGAAGTCCCTGGGGTGGTTAGGAGAACTTTGGGAATTGCCTGGGACTCCCGTGAGGACAATTTTCTTTATCAGTTCACCATACCCGAGAGGCCAATTACGAGAAGGGGCATATTGTCTGCTGTGTCTTCTGTCTATGACCCTTTGGGTCTGATCGCACCCTTAATTATGCCCGCAAAGTTATTGTTACAAAGACTATGTCGAGAGAAACTACATTGGGATGACCCAGTCACTGGTGATGGCCGTGACATTTGGACTTCCTGGCTACGTGAGGTGAAGGCGATAGACATCCTAAAGATTCCTCGGTGCATTCGTAAGCCTGGAGAGACAAATGAGCGGCCGCAACTACACATCTTTTGCGATGCTTCTGAAGCTGGATTTGGCGCAGTTGCTTATGCTAGGTTTCATGCTGAAGACACATCATATTGCTCTCTGTTATACGCGAAGTCGAGAGTAGCCCCTCTGAAATCAGTGTCGATACCGCGACTGGAGCTATCGGCAGCCATGTTGGGGACAAGGTTATATGAAGATTTAACTGAAGGAGCTCACATGAGTTTCGATAAAGTTGTGTTTTGGACTGACTCTACGACGGTTTTGTACTACATAAATGACTCATCTAAAAGATTCAGCACCTTTATTGCCAACCGACTGTCGGTCATACAGGAATTAACTGAGCCCAGTCAGTGGAAGCATATCAAATCAGAATGCAATCCGGCAGACCTGCTGTCTAGAGGCACTACATCCGTAACATCCTTGAAGCGCTGGTTTCTTGGCCCAGAATTCCTACTGAGTGGCGAGGATGAGTGGCCTGAGTTTTGTCCGAGTTCTGAGCCAGCCAACTTAGAATTGAAACGTTCCACCGCACATGTTTGTGCGACATCAAGTGCAACACCATTATCGCTCCTTATCAGCAGATATTCCGACTGGACTAAGTTGCTAAAAGCGGTGGTGTGGTTATCACGATTCAAGCAGCAGCTTTACGTCCGCAGACAGGGAGCTGCTGGGGCCGCGCAACCCAATAGACTAATTACCCTGTCTGAACTCAACCGAGCAGAGTGTGATGTCATCCGGCTTGCGCAACTCGAAGCTTATGGAACAGAGTTGGAACGGCTTGAAAAGGCGAATGCAGACCCAACAGCGTCTAAAATGGAGATACGGCGAGGTCCTTTGGCCCGTCTCAACCCCGTACTGCGCGGTGGCCTCCTTTGTGTTGGTGGCCGGCTGGCGTATTCGGAGTACGACGCTGCATTCAAGTTCCCGGTTATCCTGCCACCTAAACACGCTGTTACTGAACTTTTGATCCGATTTTATCATTCGATGGAAGGTCACTCGGGAGTTTCTCAGGTCCTGGCGAGCTTGCGCCGTAAATATTGGATCGTTCGCGGGATGTCGGCAGTGAAACGGTTGATAGGGGCTTGTTGGGTATGCAAGAAACGGCTTGCTACCACCGGTGAGCAGCTGATGGCGCCATTGCCGTTAGCTCGGGTGGAACGTGGGTGGCACCCATTCAAATCGGTCGGCGTGGATTACTTTGGCCCATTTCTTGTTAAACACGGGCGAAAGCAGGAAAAGCGGTACGGGTGTCTATTTACCTGTCTACAAGCGAGAGCCGTACATCTTGAGATTTCCCATACCTTAACTACCGACTCGTTCATTATGGCTTTGATGCGATTTGTCTCCCGTAGAGGGACTCCGGTCGAAATATTCAGCGACAACGGCAGCAACTTCGTAGGCGTCGTATCAGAGTTGCGTACTGCTGTCAAGGGGTGGTCCCAAGCAAGAATCAATGATAGACTCCTTAGCATGGGAGTCCAATGGCACTACAACCCTCCAATGTCCAGCCATAGGGGGGGTATATGGGAGCGCATGATCAGGTCTGTTAGGAGGGTGCTGTTATCGATTGCGACACAACAGACGCTTAATGAGGAAGCGCTCAGTACTCTGTTTGTTGAAGCAGAGCGCATCATCAACAGCAGGCCGTTAGTACCTTTGACATCAGATCCAAACGACCGTATGGCCCTTACCCCCAACGATTTACTGATACTGCGACCTAATGCATCGCATTTCCTTGCGGCTTCTCTAACCGAAGAATATAGACGCTGTTGGCGGCAAGTTAATTACCTGACAGCGTTGTTTTGGAAAAGATGGGTCGCAGAGTACTTGCCCTTGTTACACTCCAGACAAAAGTGGCTGCGAAGGATTCGAAACTTCAGACCTGGGGATGTAGTTTTGGTCTCTTCCGAAACCGGTACACGTGGCACGTGGCCCATGGGGATTGTTGACCACTGTATAGGTTCTGAAGACGGGCTTGTCAGGACTGCAGTTGTTAGGACCAAGAATGGGCTGATTACAAGGGATATACGAAAGTTGTGTTTGCTAGAAGGGAGCGACACGAGTGGGGATGTAGTTCCGGCTATTGGCTCTCCGCAGGCGGGAGACGGGTTTCGGCCTGTCGCACCAGGGAGGACCGCTGTGAGTCCAATAGCCGAAGTGGGGGGCCTCTGGCGTACCGGTGTAAGTCCTTTGGCCCCCTAGCGTGGATGGAGCCGGCGTAGGGCGTTCCAGAGCAGAAACATCCGACATCTTCAATGGAAAATCCGGATCGGATTTTGGTGGGCAGTGTAGAAAGAACTTTGACCACCCCAGTCTCTCCCATGTTGAAAGCCCAGTTCTACGTTGCTCGGCCGTCTGAATCGATTATGTTTGCTAACTCCCTTACTTTCCATTCCTTTGTTCTCTGCCCCGATGCTCTTAGCGAGTGACTCCGGTGACTCATCTTAACTTCACCCCGCCCCCATGGACCTGTCATTGCTCTCTTGACATAAGCGATTTTGTGTTCCCACAACTCATGTATCCAGTGTGGCTGGTCTGTCTGTCCTCAGCCCGTTCCCGTTGGCGGACGCTTACGATTGGCTC